TGCACAGACAATTTTCTGTCATAGGCTGTAGTATCCATTACGAATTTTAAATACCAAACTTGAAACAATACCGGTGAATAATGTCGCTAAAATCATCAAAATACCGAATAGAGGGAGGTGCAGTTATATGGGGGCTATACGAAGACGTGGACCTGCACAGACAAATTTCTGCCTTATGCTGTAGTATTCATTACGAACTTCAAATACCAAATTGAAAACAATTCCAGTGAATAATGTCGCTAAAATCATCAAAATACCGAATATCGGGAGGTACCGTTATATGGGGGCTATACGAAGACCGCTGACCTGCCCAGATAATTTTCTGTCATAGGCTGTAGTATTCATTACGAACTTCAAATACCAAAGTTGAAACAATTCCGGTGAATAATGTCGCTAAAATCATCAAAATACCGAATATCGGGAGGTACCGTTATATGGGGGCTATACGAAGACCTGGACCTGCACAGACAATTTTCTGTCTTAGGCTGTAGTATCCATTGCGAACTTCAAAAACCAAAATTTTAAACAATTCCGGTGAATAATGTCGCTAAAATCATCAAAATACCGAATATCGGGAGGTACCGTTATATGGGGGCTCTACGAAGACGTGGACCTGCCCAGATAATTTTCTGTCATAGGCTTTGGATTGTCACAAGCTCTTCTATACTGAATGAGAATATCCCTTATTTTAAGAATTATTAGACTTTTCAGTTATTTCACGAAAAAGAAAAAAATCGTGAAAAATTCAAATGAAATTTTATCAATTTTTGCTCTCTTCAAATCACCATTTCAAAATAGTTTTAATTTTTGAATCGCCCCATCTCTGCTCTAGCCTTTTTGTTATCTTCCGATATTTATTCCCTTGGAATGCATTTTCCTTCTAAAAATACTTTCCTTTTTTTTGCGGGAGCATATTTTATAGCAGCCACCTAAGGGTTAAAACCATTCAATAACTTCTTGCCTGGCCATGCCATATAGAAGTCATGGAAGTTTCTTTGTTTTTGTTTGTGTTATCTTTGGAAGCTTGTTTATGCATGGGGAATGCATTTTGCATACTAAACTCGACGATTCTTAGCAATGAACTTGAAATAAAGTGGATATGAGATTGTCAATATCCAATTCCGAGGGGAATTGAAAGAAAATAAAAAAAAAAATAAAGAAAAATGTGTGTTTTCAGTTGTGGGAGGACAGGATAGGGAAATGGTGAAAATTAAATTCGATCATTGAAATTTTGAAAAAATTGTATTTTTATATTTTTAAAATTTATTAAAAATTAAAAAAAAAACTAGTTCAAAAGTATCAGTCGATTTAGCCGACAGAGGTATACCCTCAGCCCATATTCGATTATTTAAATATATTTTGACTTCTATTATGATTATTCAAATTGTTGACCCTCTAGGTTCCGAAAGAATTGGCCAATATTGTCCATTTCGCATCGGACCTAAATAAATATGATATAAAAATTGCTCCGTGCCAGCTTTGGACTATATCGATTGCTTCCTTCACTTTATATGAGATATGGGATAATTTTGAGAAAATTTTAAAATGTGGTAGAGATTCCAGATATAGTTGAGCGAAGTATTCAATTTTCATACTTTATCCAATACAGAAAAAAATATTGGCATGGACAAAATTACAAGATCGTCGAACATTTATATCCAATTTTATGCGGAATCATAAATTCCATATTCATCTCAGTTTTCTGGTTGAAAGATATATTTAGATATAGCAAGTTTTAACGAATCACTGACCTGTTTCGCAAGTTATGTCAGATAAAATTATTGAAAATTGTGACCCTTTGTGGGTGAGGTATCAGAAGGTATATATCACCTTCACAACAGATCTTGTGTTAGCAAAAATGTTGAAATGTTTCAAGTCTGAATGGAATCGGATGTTAATTTCGCGTTTAATGATCTTCATTGATAATCAAAATGTTGAGCCTTTGTGGGGAAGACATCAAAAGGAGTGGACCACTATATCCCATCTTCACAGCAGATTTTGTGTTAGTTGAAATAATGGTATGTGTGAAATATAAAGATAATCGGATACTTATTTCGGATTTTATAATCGTTTTGGTTATTCAAAACTTTGACTTTTTGTGGGGGAGGTACCTAGAAATGTTCCGATCTCTACCATTTTTATAACAGATCTTTAGCTGATAGATATATTAAGTTGTGCCAGGTCTGAATGGAATCGGATATTAATTTCGCATTTTATGGGCTTCATGGATATTCAAAATTTTGACCCTTTGTGGGGAAGGCACCAGAAGGAGTGGACCAATATATCCTTTCTTCACAGCAGATCTTGTGTTGGCAGAAATAATGGGAGGTGTAAAATATGAAGACAACCAAATGATTATTTCGGATTTTATAATTGTTTTGGTCATTTAAAAACGTTGACCCTTTGTGGTGGAGCCACGAGAAGAAATGTTCCGATCTCTACCATCTTTATAACAGATATTGTGTTGATAGAAATATTGAGATGTACCAAGTCTGAATGGAATCGGATATTAATTTCGCGTTTTTAAGCTTCATGGATATTCCAAATTTCGACTTTTCGTGGGGGAGGTACCGGAATGAGTGGTGCGATATATTCCATCTTCACACCAGATCTTTGGTTTTGCATGTGTGAAATTTGAAGACAATCGGACTCTTTCATTACATTTTATAAGAGTAGTAATTATTCAAAATTTTGACCCTTTGTGTGTTCGAGCAAAATCGGATTATCGTTTCTCTTTCTGTGCAGAAAATATATATTTTTGAAAATTTCAACCTTTTGTGCGGGAGGTATCAGAAAGAGTAGACCGATATATTCCATCTTAACACCAGACTTTGCGTAAATAAAAATATTGGATTGTCGGAAATTTGAAGACAATCGGACCCTTACATCACATTTTTCATGCGTTATAATTTTTCAAAATTTTGACCCTCTGTTGGGGGGAGGTACTTGATGGAGTGGACCGATATTTTCCATTTTCGCACCTGACCTAGCACTGATGCAAATATTAGGATTTGCAAAGTTGGAGCAAAATCGGATTATCGTGTCTCTTTCTGTGCAGAAAATATATATATTTTTGAAAATTTCGACCTTTTGTGGGGAAGATACCAGAAGGAGTGGTCCGATATATTCCTCCTTCACACCAGATCTTTAGTTTATAAAAATATTGGGATGTGTGAAATTTGAAGGCAATCGGACTCTTACATCACATTTTATAAGAGTTGTAATTATTCAAAATTTTGACCCTTTGTTTTGACCCTCATCTGATCTAGCACTAATATTAGGATTTGCAAAGTTGAATCAAAATCGGCTTATCGTTTCTCTTTCTGTGCAGAACATATATTTTTTGAAAATTTCGAGCTTTTGTGGGGGAGGTACCAGAAACAGTGGACAGATATTGCCCATCTCCGAACTCGATCTAAGTTTGATAATTATACCCTACACCACAAGGTGGTCATTTGTTTGTAACAGGCAAAAGGAAACGAGATAGACCCTTAGTTCCTTTTGCATGTCAGTCCGTCTGTCCATGTATTTTTGTAAACAAAATGCTGGTCGCATTTATTATCCGATTAAGATGAAACTTTGCAAACAATACTTGTTTGGCCCAAGGACGAACCCTATTGAAATTGGAGATAATCGGTAAAAATTTAGATATAGCTCCCATATATATCTTCGTCCGATTTGTCTTTTATTGTGCACCAAACGTGTAGTATCAGCCCGAATAGTATGGAATTTTGCACATACAACCAAATTAGGCCTGAAAATAACTATGCAAAATTTGATCGAAATCGGTTCAGATATAGCTATAGCTCCCACACAGCTACAGCTCCTCCGCAGCCGTAATATACACTCTGTAACAACAATATTTAGGGAAATATATCAAATGCAGCTCAGAAATACCTTTGCTAAATTTTATCGAGATCGGTTCAGATTTGGATATAGCTCCCATATATAACTTCGTCCGATTTACCTTTTATTGTGCACCAAACGTCTAATATATGTTCAAATGGGATGGAATTTGGCACATACGACCGAATTGAGTCTAGAAGGTAGTATGCAAAATTTGGTGAAGATCGGTTCAGATATAGCTATAGCTCCCATATATATTGTTCATCCGATTTGTTGTATTTGTTACCCACAGCCGTAATATGCACTCCGTAACAACGATATTCAGGGAAATATATCAAATACAGCTCAGAAATATCTTTGGCAAATTTTATCGAGATCGGTTCAGATTTGGATATAGCTCCCATATATATCTTTATCTGATTTAGAATTAATTTTGCACCAAATGGGCAATACAAGTCCAAATTTAAGAGATACAAATGCTTCGGCGTATTTAGTCCTTTAAATTTTAAATTATAATTATAATCATAGGGTGTATGATTGAATTCTCCCATAAAAACTTTTACTTGTTATGTGGAGCTCAACTAAATTAGCAAAGTGGTGTAGGGTATCATAAAATCAGCCCCGCCCGTCTTTAGGACTTTCTTTACTGGTAATATTTGGATGTACCAACTTGGACCACATCGGATACTCCCTTCGAGCCAGTGAGCCATACAGACGGACGCTGCACCGACTCCAAATGTCCTGCAACGGATTTGGTCCAAAGAGACCCAGGGTCTAAAATCGTTATTTTGAAGTTTTATAACATCCTTATTAATCCTTAAGACTAGAAAAAAAGTTTTGTAATAACCATAATTTTTCTTTTGACTTTTTTAAAAATATTTTACAAAAAAATACTAAATAAATAATAGATTATAAAATAACTTATGTATATATAAATCCTTATGGAAAACATAAATTTTAATTAAAATCTTAATTTTATATTAATTTGACACAATATGTTACTGAAACTGTATTAAATTAAAAAATAATTTTAAATTTTTAAATTTTTTCAAAAATTAAATCTTAAAATTTATTTTTTATTTAATTTTAAATTAATTTATTCATAATTAAAATTATATCTAAATATAATGTAATTTTCTCTTTCCTCTTTCCAGTTGATATCTGAAATACCCTTTCAGGAGTACCAAAAAAAATTAACAGCAATTGAACGATTAGCTGAGAGAGAGAGAAAACCAGAGAACACAATTTTTGTCTGAAACCCCAAAACAATTTCAACAAAATCCCATTTTGGTAAAAAAAAATAAATTTTAAATAAATAATAATTTAAACAAAGAAAGAGAAGAAGTAATAATAATACAAACAACCCAAGAAGAAAGGAATAATACAAAAACAAAGAGAAAACCAATACAAAAGAATCCCAAAACAGAAAACGGAAAACAAGAGAACAAGTTTTTTATTAAAAGAGTAAAACCAAGCATAAACCCCTACAAGGAAACAAAAACAACAACTGTAACAAGAGAAGTAGTTCGAAAAGAGATAGAAAGAGTAAAGAACAAAATAACAACACCACAAAAGTGATAGAAATCAAAAGCCTAATTCCACATTGAGTTCAAGCAGCGAAATTCAACGAACATCATCATGAATTTAAGTGGTTATCACAGAAACTCTCTCTAAAGAGAGAGAGAGATAGAGAGAGAGAAAGAAAAAAGAGAGAGTTGCAATAATTCAAAAAAAGACACAAAGAGTCGTAGCGAAAAAAACATCATATCTCATTACATTATTTAGCTAAGACTTAAACCAAAAACACCAAACACTCAACAATCAAACACCCACCCACCCACAAGAATAGCAACAACAACAACAGCAGCAGCAACAAAATGGCAATAAATTTCTCCGCCTCATTTGCCGCCTGCATAGCTGCCGGCCTCAAAGTGCCACGCCAGATTATGTACTGCATCACCCAGGACACGGGCCAGCCGTATGTCCTCTACAAAGATTCACAGGAAGCCGAACGAAATGCAGCCGCCATTGGCGGTACCCCAACCCAATGGGGCACAGAAATGTATCCCGGCATCCAGCAACAACATTTAAGTGCACAACAACAAAATGCCATAACGGCAAATGGTCAAGCGGCCGCCTCAAATGGTCCAACGTCACATTCGCCCAACGGCGATCCACATGGCCGTGAAAATGGTGGCGATGGTGCGGGTGGAGCTGGTGGTGGAGTGCGGCAACAGGGCTCACCGTCGACCAGTCCGTACCCGCCTCAACAGCAGCAGCAACAACAACAGCAGCAGCGGACAAATGGAACCAATGATGATGATGTGAATATGAATCAGGTGTGTAATGGGGAAATGGAAAGGGGCAGATAAAGTATCTATGTTACATAGATCAGTTGGATAATAGATCTACGTCACACAGATAACGGTAAAATTATGTTTTCATATTCAGATAATGGGAGATGTCATGTATCTTCATCCATTGGATACTGTATCTATGTTATCCCAATGACATGGATAATGTATCTATGTTATCCTGATGACATGGATAATGTATCTATGTTATCCTAACGATGTGGGTAATGTATCTATGTTATCCTAACGATGTGGGTAATGTATCTATGTTATCCTAACGATATGGAGAATGTATCTATGTTATTCTAATGACATGGATAATGTATCTACGGTATCCTAATGACGCGGATAATGAATCTACGTTATCCTAATGTCATGGATAATGTATCTATGTTGTCCTAATGTCATGGATAATGTATCTATGTTATCTTAACGACATAGATAATGTATCTACGTTATCCTAATGTCATGGATAATGTATCTATGTTATCCTAATGAGGTGGATAATGCATCTACGTTATCCTAATGGCATGGATAATGTATCTGTGTTATCTTATGTCAGGGATAATGCATCCTGATGACATGGATAATGTATCTATGTTATCCTAATGACATGGATAATGTATCTATGTCATCCTAATGACATGGATAATGTATCTATGTCATCCTAATGAGGTGGATAATGTATCTATGTTATCCTAATGTCATGGATAATGTATCTATGTTATCCTAACGACATAGATAATGTATCTACGTTATCCTAATGTCATGGATAATGTATCTATGTTATCCTAATGAGGTGGATAATGCATCCATGTTATCCTAATGATGCGGATAATGTATCTACGTTATCCTAACGACATAGATAATGTATCTACGTTATCCTAATGTCATGGATAATGTATCTATATTATCCTAATGAGGTGGATAATGCATCTATGTTATCCTAATGATGCGCGTAATGTATCTACGTTATCCTAACGACATAGATAATGTATCTACGTTATCCTAATGTCATGGATAATGTATCTATATTATCCTAATGAGGTGGATAATGCATCTATGTTATCCTAATGATGCGCGTAATGTATCTACGTTATCCTAACGACATAGATAATGTATCTATGTTATCCTAATGACAAGAATAATGTATCTATGTTATTCTAACGATATGGATAATGTATCTACCCTATCCTAATGTCATGGATAAAGTATCTATGTTATCTTAATGACGCGGATAATGTATCTACGTTATCCTAATGTCATGGATAATGTATCTACGTTATCCTAATGACGTGAATAATGTATCTATGTTATCCTACTAACACGGATAATGTATCTACGTTATCCTAATGTCATGGATAATGTATCTATATTATCCTAATGGAATGGACAATGTGTCTGTGTTATCCTAACGATATGGGTAATGTATCTATGTTATCCTAATGAAGTGGATACTGTATCTATGTCATCCTAATGACGTAAATAATGTATCTATGTTATCCTAATATCATGGATAATGTATCTATGTTGTCCTAATGACGTGGATACTGTATCTATGTTATCCTAATGTTATGGATAATGTATCTATGTTATCCTAACGACATGGATAATGTATCTACGTTATCCTAATGTCATGGATAATGTATCTATATTATCCTAACGACATAGATAATGTATCTACGTTATCCTAATGTCATGGACTATGTTATCCTAATGAGGTGGACAATGCATCTATGTTATCCTAATGACGCGGATAATGTATCTACGTTATTCTAATGACATGGATAATTTATCTACGTTATCTTATGTCATGGATAATGTATCTATGTCATCCTAACGACATAGATAATGAATCTACGTTATCCTAATGTCATGAATAATGTATCTATGTTATCTTATGTCATGGATAATGCATCTATGTTATCCTGATGACATGGATAATGTATCTATGTTATCCTAACGATATGGAGAATGTATCTATGTTATCCTAATGACATGGATAATGTATCTATGTCATCCTAATGACGCGGATAATGTATCTATGTTATCCAAATGTCATGGATAATGTATCTATGTTATCCTAATGAGGTGGATAATGCATCTATGTTATCCTGATGACATGGATAATGTATCTATGTTATCCTAACGATGTGGGTAATGTATCTACGTTATCCTAATGTCATGGATAATGTATCTATGTTATCTTATGTCATGGATAATGCATCTATGTTATCCTGATAACATGGATAATGTATCTATGTTATCCTAATGACATGGATAATGTATCTATGTTATCCTAACGACATAGATATGTATCTATGTTATCCTAATGACATGGATAATGTATCTATGTTATCGTAATGACGCGGATAATGTATCTACGTTATCCTAACGACATAGATAATGTATCTACGTTATCCTAATGTCATGGATAATGTATCTATGTTATCCTAATGAGGTGGATAATGCATCTACGTTATCGTATGTCATGGATAATGCATCTATGTTATCCTGATGACATGGATAATGTATCTATGTTATCCTAACGATATGGAGAATGTATCTATGTTATCCTAATGACATGGATAATGTATCTATATCATCCTAATGAGGTGGATAATGTATCTACGTTATTCTAATGTCATGGATAATGTATCTATGTTATCCTAACGACATAGATAATGTATCTACGTTATCCTAATGTAAGGATAATGTATCTATGATATCTTTATGACATGGATACTGTATCTATGTTATGCCAATTACGTGGATAATGAATCTACATTACTCAGATTACGTGGAAATTGTAAAATATTTGACTTCTTTTGCAACCAAGTTTTGACTCTTTCTCACATTCCCATTTTCTCTCTCTCCCCAGGTCAATGGTTTACAAAATCAACAGCCAAATTCCAATCCACAATCAAATCCAAACCAAAGCTCAAACGATCCCCAACAGCAACAGCAGCAGCATCAACAGCAACATAATGCCAATGCAGCCTCTGCGACAGACAATAATCCGGCGGGGAATAATCCACAGCACGTCCAACAGAATGGTCAGCCCAATGATCATGCCAACAATGGCTTTCCGGGCTCACAAAACGGCGAATTGTCCAGCTATTATGCGCCACGACATCCTGGCGCCCAAGGTGGTCTGATGGCACCACCCGGTTTCCCACCTCTGCATTATCTAAATAAACCTGTTCTGCCGGGTTTGAATGGAGCCATGGATCAGGGTGCCGCTAACGGTCCCACAAATGGCCTGGAAGCCTATGCCCTGCCCGAACTGTTGCCAGGACAAAATGGCACTGCCAATGGCAATAATCAGCAAAACGGCAGCGGGCACAGTGGCAATACCACGTCAAATGGCACTGGGGGTAGTGGACGACAGAATTCCTCGGGCAGCCACAAACCGACCAAGCCACACAGTGATCTGCGGCTGTTCAAATGTCTTACCTGCGGAAAAGATTTCAAACAGAAAAGTACACTGCTGCAGCACGATCGCATACACACCGACGCCCGGCCGTATCCCTGTTCGGAGTGTGGCAAACGCTTCCGCCAGCAGTCGCATCTGACCCAGCATCTGCGCATCCATGCCAACGAGAAGCCCTTCACCTGCGGCTACTGCAATCGAGGCTTTCGCCAGCGGGCAATACTCAATCAGCATGTTCGCATCCATTCGGGTGAGAAGCCCTTTGCGTGTCCCGAGTGCGGCAAGCACTTTCGCCAGAAGGCCATCCTTAATCAACATGTGCGAACCCACCAAGGCGAGCGACAGTTCTTGAATAAATTCCAAAATAAAAAAAAAGAAAACCAAAACAAAAAAAAAAAAAAAAATGAAATTAGATCAGATTGAAATCACCTTTAGCAAAGAAAAACTGAGAGTTACAGTTTAGGGCACAATTTTCGGTCTCAAATACAAAATCAAAATTTTTCCTCTTGAAATCCGGAAGCAAGTAACAAAATTCAAAATTCTCTGTGTGTGAAGCACTTTGTTATCAAGGAATTGGCTGATTTTCCGATAATGGCTTTAAGGAGTATTTACCCAAAACAAAACAAAAAAAAAAAAAAAGCTCGTTCGCCTTGCTTACCTTTTTGGCTCCAAAAAAAAAAAAATAACTCAAAATTTTGCAAATTTTAAAAAAAGAAGAAATAATTGGCTTGCTCTCTGCTCTTAAGGTCATTATTTTGGAAAGTCTCTTAGTTAAGCAAAAATCTTAAAAAAAATCATCTGGCAAAAACTTTCAAAATTCTTAAATTAACTGTAAGTCTCTCAATACCCTATCCGTATTCATATTCAAAACCAAAAAAAAAAAAATAAAAAAAAAAAATACTGGAGAGTGCTGAAGCACTTTGCCGGCTCCACACAACCCTTTAGAGTAGCTTAGTTACCGTTCTAGATGTATTCCTCACTTCCAACATGGGCCATATTATCATTTGATTTTTTGTTTTTATTTCCACAGATGTTTCACCACATCTCATATTCAAAAATGGACCACATCCGACCCTGTGGCCCCAGGATGTACCCTATCCGGGCGATGAGACTGATACCAAGAATGGCATTGCCAATGATGGTTACAATGACGATGATTCACAGAATGGTCAAGATGGAGGTATACATTATCCCGCCTACTTTAAGGATGGTAAAGGTAAGGATCCTTTAGGTTTGCAGCCTTGAAAACTATTTACTAATTTCCGTTCTTACTTCTAGGACAAAAAATCTTACCCGATGTCCTGTCACACATTGGTATCCGTCCGGCAAATATGCCGCTGTATGTTCGCTGTCCGATCTGCGACAAGGAGTTCAAACAGAAAACAACTCTCTTGCAGCATGGTTGCATACATATCGAATCACGTCCCTATCCATGTCCCGAATGTGGTAAACGTTTCCGCCAACAGTCACATTTGACCCAGCATTTGCGCATACACACGAATGAGAAGCCATTTGGCTGTTTGTACTGTCCGCGTTTCTTCCGTCAGAGAACTATTTTGAATCAGGTGAGAATGGAGTTGGGAAATATTTTTAAAGAATTACGATTAAAATTTATTTATTTGTTGCAGCACGTCCGCATCCATACCGGCGAGAAGCCCTACAAATGTGGCCAATGTGGCAAAGATTTCCGCCAGAAGGCGATACTGGATCAGCACACAAGAACGCACCAGGTAGTGGTATATTAAGGAAGTACAAAACCGGAGATCGTAATGGAGAAACTTTAAAAAATTTGCTAAGTCCTGAAAACCTGAAGAAATTTAGTCAAAATATCACGATTTAAGTCCTTGAAGCCCATGAAAAATATGGAGTCTCTTTAGGGTCCTTTAAGAACTTAAACAAATGCCCTTAAAGAGTCCACATTAGGGCCCTATCAGTATTCTTAAACAATCAGGCTCAGGCCCTCAAAATATTCTGTAAAAGTACAGGTTTTAAGCCCACAAATACATTCCAAATTTAGGGGCCTTAAAATATTCATTAGGAGTCCACGTTTAGAACCTCTAAAATATTCTCTAAACGTCAACGAAAATAGTCCTCAAAATAATCAAAAAGAATCCACAATTGTGACCCACAAAATATTTATAAAGAGTCCACGATTGGACCCCCCCCCACAAATATTGTGCGGTCTGGGCCCTCAAGTTATTCATGAAGAGTCCACCAAAATTTTGTCAAAATTTCAAAGATAAGAGACCTTAAATATTCTTAAAAAAATATGAAGAGAAATGGCCGTTAAAATATTCCTTAAGAGTCCACATAAAGAATCCCTAAAAAACCCTCAAAAAGTAAACATTCTTAGCCATTAAAATTTTCTTAATAATCCACGTTCAGATCCTGGAAATATCCCTAAAAAACACGTTGTAGAGCCCTTCAAAAACCCCTGAAAATATTGCTTAAAAATTGACGTTCAGAGACCTTTAAATACTCTTGAAAATGTACCTTACAAATCTATGTTCAGAGCCCTTGAAATTCACCTGAAAATATTCCTTAAAAATCCAAGTTCAGAGCCCTTTAAATACTCCTGAAAATATTCCTTAAAATCCTTGTTCAGAGCCCTTAAAATTGTCCTAAAAACATCCTTAAAATACACGTTAAGAGCCCTTTAAATACCCTTGAAAATATTGCTTAAAAATCCACGTTCAAAGCCCTTTAAAAATCACTGAAATTATTCCTTAAAAATATATGTTCAGAGCCCTTTAAATACTCCTGAAAATATTCCTAGAAATCTATGTTCAGAGCCCTTTAAATACCCCTAAAAATATTCTTTTAAATACCACTTTCAGAGCCCTCTAAATACTCCTTACATTATTCCTTAAAAATCCACGTTGAGAGCCCTTTAAATACTCCTAAAAATATTCCCTTAAAACACTTTCAGATCCCTTTAAATAATCATGAAAATATTCCTTGAAAATCCATGTTCATAGCCCTTTAAATGCTCCTGAAAATATTCCTTAAAATCCAAGTTCAGAGACCTTAAAATATTCCCTTAAAAACCTCTTTCATAGGCTTTTAAATACTCCTAAAAATATTCCTTAAAATCCAAATTCAGAGACCTTAAAATACTCCTGAAAATATTTTTTGAAAATCCATGTTAATAGCCCTTTAAATAGTCCTGAAAATATTTCTTAGAAATTCACGTTCAGAGCCCTTTAAATACTCCCAAAAATATTCCTTAAAAAAACAATTTCAGAGCCCTTTAAATAATCATGAAAATATTCCTTTAATATAAAAGTTCAGAGCCCTTTATATACTCCTGAAAATATTCCTTGAAAGTCCATGTTCATAGCCCTTTTAATACTCCTGAAAATATTCCTTAAAATCCTAGTTCAGAGCCCTTTAAATTGTCCTAAAAATATTCCTTAAAATTCAAGTTCAGAGCTCTTTAAAAACCCTTAAAAATATTCCTTAAAAATCCCCGTTCAGAGCCCCTTAAATAATCCTTAAAAATCTATGTTCAGAGCACTCTAAATACTCCTAAAATATTCCTTAAAACCCAAGTTCAGAGCAGTTCAAATACTCCTAAAAATATTCCTTAAAAACCAAGTTCAGAGCAGTTTAAATACTCCTAAAAATATTCCTTAAAATACAAGTTCAGAGCCCTTTATATACTCCTGAAATTATTCCTTAAAAATCCACGTTCAGGGGCCTTAAATAAAAAATCTAAATAATCCTTAAAAATCTATATTCTAATCTAGTCCTTAAGAACTCGAAAAAGTATGCTTTAAAATTCGAGATTTTAACTCTAAAAGATCCTCGGAAAATATGCTTTAAGAAGCCAAGTTTAAAGTCCCTTAACTAAGCCATAAATCCCAGAATGGACACCTAGAAGAACTTCCTCATTTTTTTTTTTTGAAAACTCCACATTTATACCCATTAAAAAAAATTAATTAAATCCACGTGTAGATCCCTTAAAGATCTCCAGATTTTTTTAAATCACGATTATAATCCTTAATATGCTCCAGAAAGTATGCTTTAAAAATCCAATATTGAAGTCCTTTATCTTCTTCAGATAATATTTTGTAATAATCTTCTCTCAATATATTCAGATATATTCTTTAAAAATTTATCTTTAAAAATCCACGTCTAGGGCCCGTAAAATACTCCCGAAAATATGCTTTAAAAAACCACGTTTAGAGTCTGAAAATACTCCGGAATGTAGGCTTTAATAATCCAAGATCAGGCCCCTAGAAGATTTTTATTTATTTTTTTTTTTTGTCAAAATCCTCTTTAGAGTCCTTGTGGAAATATTTCGAATAATTTCAAATCTTTTACTATTTTAAAATACACCTGAAAATATTCTAAAACACCAATTTATGTAGCCTTAAAAATACTCCACAAAATATGCTTTAAAATCCACGTTTAGAGTCTGAAAATATCCCAGAATATAGGCTTTAATAATCCCCTAGAAGGCATCCAATACTTTTTTTTCAAAAATCCTCCTTAGAGTCCTTGAAGAAATATTTCGAATAATTTTAAAAAGTTAAACATCAATGTTTGCTGTAATAATCCACGTTTAGAGTCTGAAAATACTTCAGAATGTAGGCTTTAATAATCCAAGATCAGACCTCTAGAAGATTTTTATTTTTTTTTTTTTCAAAATACTTTTTTAGAGTGTTGCGGAAATACTTCGAATAATTTCAAAACTTTTATTATTTTAAAACACACCAGAAAATATTAAAACACATCAATTCATGTAGCCTAAAAAATACTCCACAAAATATGCTTTAAAAATCCTTAAAAATCCTTAGAGTCTTAAAATACTCCGGAATATAGGCCTTAATAATCCCCTAGAAGGGGATTATTAGGGTACTTGAAGAAATATTTCGAATAATTTCGAAAATTTTATTATTTTAAATTCTCTACAGAATATTCTAAAACATCAATGTTTGCTTTAATAATCCACGTTTAGAGTCTGAAAATACTCCAAAATGTTGGCTTCAATAATCCAAGATCAGGCCCCTAGAAAAATTTTTTTTTTTTCAAAAATCCTTTTTAGAGTCTTTGAGGAAATATTTGGAATAATTTCAAAATTTTTATTATATTAAAATACTCCAGAAAATATTCTAAAACAATTTATGTAGCCTTAAAAATACTCCACAAAACAGGCTTTAACATCCTCGTTTAGAGTCTGAAAATACTGCAGAATAAAGGCTTAAATAAACCCCTAGAAGGCATCAAATACTTTTTTTCAAAAATCCTCCTTAGAGTCGTTGAAGAAATATTTCGAATAATTTCGAAAATTTTATTATTTTAAATTCTCTACAGAATATTTTAAAACATCGATGTTTGCTTTAATAATCCACGTTAAGAGTCTGAAAATACTCCAAAATGTAGGCTTCAATAATCCAAGATCAGGCCCCTAGAAGATTTTTATTTATTTTTTTTTTCAAAAATCCTTTTTATAGTCTTTGAGGAAATATTTCGAATAATTTCAAAATTTTTATTATATCAAAATACTCCAGAAAATATTCTAAAACACCAATTTATGTAGCCTTAAAAAGACTCCACAAAATATGCTTTAAAAATCCACGTTTAGAGTTTGAAAATACTCCGGAATATAGGCTTTAATAATCCCCTAGAAGGTATCCAATACTTTTTTTTTTCATAAATCCTCCTTAGAGTCCTTGAAGAAATATTTCGAATAATTTCGAAAATCAAACATCAATGTTTGCTTTAATAATCCACGTTTAGAGTCTGAAAAAACTTCAGAATGTAGGCTTTAATAATCCAAGGTCAGGCCCCTAGAAGATTTTTATTTTTTTTTTTTTTTTCAAAAATCCTTTTTAGAGTTCTTGCGGAAATACTTCGAATAATTTCAAAACTTTTATTATTTTAAAATACACCAGAAAATATTCTAAAACATCAATCTATGTCTTTAAAATTTCTCTAGAAAATAATCCCCTAGATGGCATCCAATACTTTTTTTTTCAAAAATCCCCCTTAGAGTCCTTGAAGAAATATTTCGAATAATTTCGAACATTTTATTATTTTAAATTCTTTACAGAATATTCTAAAACATCAATGTTTGCTTTAATAATCCACGTTTAGAGTCTGAAAATGCTCCAGAATGTAGACTTTAATAATCCAAGATCAGGCCCCTAGAAGATTTTTAATTGTTTTTTTTTTTTTCAAAATCCTCTTTAGAGTCCTTGCGGAAATATTTCGAATAATTTCAAAACTTTTATTATTTTAAAATACACCAGAAAATATTCTAAAACATCAATCTATGTCTTTAAAAAATCTCTAGAAAATAATCCCCTAGAAGGTATCCAATACTTTTTTTTCAAAAATCCTCCTTAGAGTCCTTGAAGAAATATTTCGAATAATTTCGAAAATTTTATTGTTTTAAATTCTCTACAGAATATTCAATGTTTGCTTCAATAATCCATGTTTAGGGTCTCCAGAATGTAGGCTTTAATAATCCAAGATCCCTAGAAGATTTTTATTTATTTTTTTTTTTTTCAAAAATCCTTTTTAGAGTCTTTGAGGAAATATTTGGAATAATTTCAAAACTTTTATTATATTAAAATACTCCAGAAAATATTCTAAAACACCAATTTATGTACCCTTAAAAATACTCCCCAAAATACGCTTTAAAAATCCTCGTTTAGAATCTGAAAAGACTACAGATGTAGGTCCCTAAAAGATCGTCATTAATTTATTTTCAAAAAATCGTCAATGTTTGTAGCCTTAAAAATACTCCTGAAAATATACTTTAAAAATCAAAGTTCAAAGTCTTAAACTGCTCCAGAATGTAGGCTTAAATAATCCAAAATCAAACCCCTAGAAGATCTTCATTAATTTATTCTGAATAATCCTCCATAATTTTAAATAATTTCAAGATTTTTTATTTTAGCTTTACTTTGTGTTTTTTTTTTTCAAATTTTTTTCTAATATTTTTTCTTTTTTTCTTGTATTGCCTCCAAAAAAAAAAAGGGTGACCGTCCCTTCTGCTGTCCCATGCCCAACTGTCGAAGACGTTTCGCCACCGAAAACGAGGTTACCAAACACATTGACAACCACATGAATCCGACAACCAAACGCAGCCGCCAGGCCAATAATACCGCCAACAGCAATAACAACAATAATAACAACAACAACAATTCACATGCAGCAGCTGCCGTGGCATCGGTGGCCGCTGCAGCGGCAGCAAATCATTTAATCAATGAAACCAAAAATGCAGCTGCTCAACAGTTTCTGAACAACAACAATCCAGCGGGTGACAATAAGAATAACATACTGCCGCGTGGTATGGGTGGCGGCGGCGGTGGGGGTGGTGGAGGTCCAAATCCCGGATCACAGGTGAAAAATGAGCTGTATTTCCCCCAGTGTTATGGACCACCATTCCAGCATCCATTTCAAACGCAACAACCAACGGCGGCCCACAACAATGGACAACCGGCTGTATCGGTAAGTGTGGCCAATTCGGTGGCACCCGGAGTGGTTGGGCAACAGAATGCCCCAACATCGGTGGTTGTGGCCCAGTGACATCCCACCACAACAACGGCAGCAGCGGCGGCGAGCCAACAATCCACAGCTGTTTCGGGGGCAAGTGGCACGGCACCGCCAAGTAATTCACATGGCCCTCACCAGCAGCAACAGATATCGCAACATGCCAATACGGCAGCGGCAGCAGCCGCAGCGGCCCACAGTCAAACTCCGCAGACGGTGACACTGTCCATAACCCTGCCGCCGGTGGGGGCATTACCACCCTCGGCTGCGGCAGCCGCAGCAGCAGCGGCAGCCCATCATCACCAGCAACAGGGTGGGCATGTGGTCAACACCTCGCATGCCCATAGTCAGCCACCGGCAGCGCCACCGCCACCAACTTCGGGTCCACCGCCAACCCTGTCACATGCAATACCCATACATCCTCATATACACTCAATATTCGGATCTCTATGATAATATCAGCAATAACAGCCAACACAATAACAGCAACAACTATCAGAACCACAATCACAGCATTATCAGCAACAAACACAATAACAAGAACTGCAACTACCACCCACACAAACTTATGTATACAAATAACAATAACAGCAACAACAACAAAAACAATTATGAAATCTATAAGAATTTTTTGTAATGGAAACTCTTTTTCACAGCAAAAGGATAAGAGTCCTTTGGCTAAGAGAATGTACACTAACGGAAGAGAATAGAGCAGTATATATATATGACCAAGAAGAATAGTGTATGTTAAGCCGATCTTAGATTTAGTTTCATACTCTCATGCAAATCAAATCAAATCACTGAACTCACTCATTTTTATAAACACCCTCACCCGGACTCACACATAAAAGCCTAATTACATATATGAATTACACAAGGGCTTAGGTTTATTGAAAACCTAAACTTTAAAATTTTTACTAAGTTTTTTTTTTTTAATCGCATATTAATTATTAACGACACACACACACATACACTCAAAAATTGGAATACCTTGATTTTTTGGTGTATCGGAAAAAAGTGTTTCAACAAAAGAGCAACTAGTCTTTTAGAAAAGGACTCTAAACTTGGTAATTACCTTTTTTTCTTTCTTTTTGTTTGATTTCGAACGGAAGACAAAAACAATGAGTGAAGGACTCACCAAAAAACGCAATTTTTTCACTTCTTTTTTTTATGTGACAAATATAGGAAAAAATAAAACAAAACACACAAGAAACATTTTGGGAAATACATATATTTTTAGAAAAGAGGAGTAATAGGATTCTTTTAAAAAAAAATTATTTTGAAAAATTTGAAAAAAAAAAAATATTCTTTTAATTTCTATTTGTTTTAGAGAAAAAAAAATTCAAAAAAAATTGTTTGCAGTGTATTTATTATTACGATTTTTTTTTAAATTAAGTTATATATCCAAAATTTCATTTTAAATTAATTAAACTTAATTTTTTTAATGGCCTCAATCATCATTATAAGCTAAAACTCGAAAGAGATAATTATTAAATATCCAAAAAAATGACCTTCGCCTTAATAAGGAACAAATTTCAAATAAAGTAATTTCGATTAAATTTTAAAATTATATTAAATACGACTTCCAAATATATAAAATTTAATTTAAATTTAAATTAAATAATTTAAAACTTATTTTGAAATAATTGAAATTAAATAAAACAAGTAAAAAATCTCTAAATTAGACCGGGCCGATCTGTGAATACCCTCAACCATTTGGAAAGAAATTGGCAATTATCCAAAAAATAAAATCCGTGAAAAATGCTGTTAAAATCTTAACAAGTAAAAAAACATTAAGTTCGGCCGGGCCAAACTTTTAATACACTCCATCCTAGGGTAAAAGAACATTAGAAGAAATGTGGCAAAAAACATTAAAATGCCGAATATCGGGAGGTACCGTTATATAGGGGCTACACCAACACGTGCACCTATAATTACAATGCTTCGCCACACGAACTAGGACCCATTATGACCCACAAATACCAACTTTTACACAAATCAGTGAAAAAATGTGGCATAAATCATCAAAATACCGAATATCGGGAGGTACCGTTATATGGGGACTATACCAGAACGTGGACCTATACATGCAATGTTTTGCCACACGCTCAGGGACCCGTCATGACCTACAAATACCAATTTTCAGATAAATCCGTGAAAAAATGTGGCATAAATCATCAAAATACCGAATATCGGGAGGTACCGTTATATGGGGACTATACCAGAACGTGGACCGATATATCTCATTTTCAATACCAATCATCCTAGGGACAATACACACACTTGTGCCAAATTTCAAAGGTCTACGTCAAATAATGTGGGCTCTATCGTGATTTCAACAGACAGACAGACGGACAGACAGACAGACGGACATCGCTAAATCGTCTTAGAATTTTATGCTGATTATGAATATATATACTTTATGGGGTCTACGACGAATATTTAGAGGTGTTACAACGGAATGACAAAGTTAATATACCCTCCTACCCATGGTGGAGGGTATAAAAATACCGAATGTAGCCGTTATATTAGGGTCTATACGACGACGTGGACCTGCATAGGCAACATTTGTCATATGCCATTAGAATTAGAATCAAATGCGAATCTTGAAAAAAAAAAATTCGGGAATAATGTAGCAAAAATCATCAAAATACCGAATATATATGGAGGACCTGCACAGACAATTTTCTGTCATAGGCTGTAGTACCCTTTACGAAATTCAAATAAGAAATTTTAAATAATTCCGGTAAATAATGCCGCTAAAATCATAAGAATACAGAATATCGGGAGGTATTGTCATATGGGGGCTATACGAAAACGTGGACCGACATGGCCCATTTACGAACTTAACCTGCCTACTGGTAATCTATGCATATATGCAAAATATTAGACTTCTATCTCAATTCGTTCGAAAGATAGATTACAATAGACAGATGGACATCACTAGATCGTCTTAGAATTTTACGCTGATCCAGAATATATACACTTTGTAGGGTCTATTATACGATTGTCCTCCATAGAATGGACAATCGGATGATAATTGTGACCTGTATATAATACATGGCGTTGTAAGGTATAACAAATAATACAAAATATCCAATTCAACTGTTCTATTCCAGAACGTGAAAGAATCTACAAGGTTTGAAATTTTTTCCGATAAACAAAGGAATAATCGGTTATCGTAGTTATATTTTGTAGATTCTTGCAATTCTGGAACAGAACAAATATTTTAAATCAAATTGAAAATTTCTCATGCGATATAAAAAATGTCAAAAATATAACGCCGTTTAAGCTCACCATAACATGGAGGATAAAACCAGTTATTCCCATTGATCGGAATAATTATTATTTAGGTCAAATAAAGTATATAGATTCTTAATCAGCGTAAAATTCTAAGATAATTTAGCCATGTCTGTCCGTCTTCCGAAGGAATTGAGATAGAGTGCTGAAATTTGGCGTTTTTGGGTCTAAACGTAGATCAAGTTCCAAGATGGGCTATATCGGCTAACTTTGTCGCATAGCTCCCATATAACAGTACCCCCTACTTTTAAGCATTTCGACAATTTTTTGCTTAATTTTTCACAATTCCGTTTAAATTTGAATACCCTATTTGAAATTTGTAAAATTAGGTCTACATTCGGGTATAGCCCCCATATAATGGTACCCCCTCATGTTAAGCATTTCGACGATTTTCGGCTCATTTTTCAACGAAATTGTCTGCAATTTTATATTTGAAGTGGTTTTTAGGGGTTCCTAATCCCCATGCAAGAAAAAAGTTAATATAGGTCCACATTTGTGTATAGTCCCCATATATCAGAACCCTCTCATTTTCCGATTTTTCGTAGATTTTCACTATATTTTTCAACGAAATTGCCTGGAATTTGGTATTTGAAGCTTAAACAGTTAATATGGGTCCACATTCGGGTGTAGTCCCCATATATCAGTACCCTCTCATTTTCCGATTTTCGTAGATTTTCATCACATTTTTCAACGAAATTGTCTGGAATTTGGCATTAAAAGGTTGTTATGGGATCCTAAACCGTTCTGCAAAAAAAAAAAAAAAAAAAAAAAAAAACAGATAATAAGTGTGAAAATTGTTGTATATCTCCCAAATAATGCTACCAGCCTTTTATCGGTATTCCGGTATTAACGGAATTGTCTGACATTTTGTATTTGAAGGTTCTAGAGGCTATCTAACTTCTATACAAAAAAATTGTTGATATAGGTCCACGTTTTCATATGGGATCCTAACCGTGCTGCAAAAAAAAAAAAAAAAAAAAAAAAAAAACATATAATGCTACCAGCCTTTTATCGGTATTCTGATGCTTGAAATGTTGATATAGGCCCACGTTTTCATATACCTCCCGATATTCGTTATTTTCAAATTTTTTGCGGAATTACTTAGAAGTCGGTATTTTGATTTCATGAAGAGTGGTATTCCTGCTGCAAAAGAATTTATACACAGGTCAAGCCCCCCTCCTTACTTACCAAACCGTGGAGGGTATAAAAAAAGGCCCGACCTACTGCTTCTTTACTTGTTTATGATATTATCCCTTTCTGTCGAGAAACCATTCTGAATTTGCAAAATCGGTGCAGCGTTCTAGAGTTATATGTACATGTATGCAGATTGTACACATTTTGCTATATATCCGATTTTTCCGATCAATGTGTCGGTCAGAACCTTTGTGATTTCGCCAGAATTAACAGTTTTCGTGTTTTAATGGTAATTTATATATTTTTGTACACAAGAGTTATGGACCATTTCACCCTAAAAAAATTATCCAATGTCCATCCAAATTGGTGGGCTTCTCGACAGCCCTGAATTCTCATCCAATGCAAAATTTCGCGTCGTTTAGTCTATACTTGTGACTTGCAGAGCTGTTATAAAATCAGCAAATTTTTCATTTCGGTCAGCCCTAGATTCTCATCGAATGCAAACTTTTACGTCGATTGGTCTATACTTGTGACTTGCAGAGCTGTTATAAAATCAGCAAATTTTTCAGTTCTTGGTCCATTTAAAACCCTAACAATATTGCGATCATCCTCAAAAACGCAAACCATGCAAAATTTACAAATTAACATGGACGGACGGACACACATAGCTGGAACAATATTTCGAAGTGTTACAAACTTTTGGTCCCACTTAAACTTATAATACCGCCACACATAATGTTGTAGGGTATAACAACATGGCAGAACCACAAATGAAGTGAAACAAATTGAAGTAATTTTTAAGCAATTACAGAAAAATTATACGACTATGGAGCTCCCGGCATGATATGTCTGCTTAAGAAAATCAACTCATCCCGAGGAGTTATATCATTTGAGGCACAAATTCGACAGTCTGACTGACCACTATCAGGGTATCAATTATTATTCTGCCTGATTTTTATTCTCTTTCAAGGAGGACTCCTCTTTTACAATGGGTTTTTTCCAAAACTTTTTAAATTTAATTCAATAAATTGCGAAATATCGATAAAAATAATGAAGATATTTATAATAATCTGACCTCGAGCTCGAACAAATTTTCAATTAATAACAAGAAAAAAGGTCGAAAAAATTTACAAATAATTTAATTTAATTTAATTTCAAAAAAAAAATTGTAATAA